AGCATAAGGCCAGATCCTTGTTTGACGACATGAAGGAAACAGAGGGTGAAGGATCGAAGGAAGAGACCTTTATGGTCAGTCGAGGCTGGTTTCAACGATTTAAGCGTCGGTATAACTTCCACAACATAAAGATGACTGGTGAAGCTGCCAGTCCAGATATGGTTGCTGCCGAGACATTCCCGCCAGAATTCAAATGGATTATCCAGCAAGGAGGCTACTCACCAAAGCAAGTCGTCAATGTGGATGAGACTGGTCTCTTTTGGAAGAGGATGCCGGAGAAAACCTATATCTCCAAGGAGGAGATAAGACCGCAAGGTTTTAAGGCAGCAAAAGGCCGCTTGGCGCTGCTGATTGGCGCGAAAGCTGCTGATGACTTCAAGCTGAAGCCTAAGCTGATTTCTCGTGCTGCCAACCCACGGGCCCTGAAAGGTTACTCTAAGGATCACCTTCTTGTCCTTTACAAGGCAAATAAAAGGGCATGGATAACCGCCGCCATATTTAGCCAGTGGTTATGTACGCCGTCTCTGCACTGAAGGAATACTGTGCCAAGGAGAACCTTAACTTCAAAATTCTTCTGATCCTTGACAATGCTCCAGCTCATCCTACTAATCTTGACGACTTGCATGACAGTGTAAAAGTTGTATTCCTGCCTCCCAACACAACAGCACTGATGTAACCTATGGACCAAGGCGTCGTTGCCTCATTCAAAGCGTATTATATTTGCCATACCATGGCCCAGCTGCTCAAGGCTACAGACGGAGAAAATAAACCAACGATCCGAAAATATTGAAACAGCTTCAACATTCTTCATGTAACTGACAACATTAGCAAGGCATGGGAAGAGGTTTCAGAAAGTTGCCTGAATGGTGTGTGGCATAAATTGTGGCCCGAGTGCGTCAACAGTTATACGGGATTCACGGACTTAGTCCCAGCAGTGAATAGGGATATCCTCTGCTTGGCTAGACAGGCAGGCTTTGATGAGCTGGAATCAGAGAATATTGAGAACATCCTGGCATCCATTACAGAAGAGCTCACCAAAAACATCTGCACCAATTAACAGAACACAATCCGGTTGAAGACGACGACGACGAAGAAGAACTTCAATGAACACTAACTTCAAAGAAATTGGCAGAATCGTTGAACACGTTCCAGCAAGCAATGCAAATGCTTCTAGATGATGACCCAAACAGAGAATGTAGCTCAAAGGTTCAACACAGCATTGAGGACAGTCTTGGTTGCTACACCAAGATCTATAAGAAGATGAGTAGCACCAAGCAGTCAACACTGGATTCATTTTTTCACCGCGGGAAAGCAGGAGCTTCTTGACAACAGCCGGCAGCCTAGGATGAGCAAACAAGAGGAGGAGCAAACAACATCGGAAGAGGAACAACCAGCGGCGGAGGAAGCCCAGTCAGAGCAGGAGGAGGAGGCAGCCGCAGAGTCTCAGTGACTCGCCACCCTCCTCTCCAGCCCTCCTCAGCTCCCGCCATCCTCCTCCTTATATCCACTACCCACCACCCACTCGCCTTACCACCTCCACCCATCGGTGAGTACCAATACAAACTTAGTACAGTTGGGTCTTCATTTATGCGGTCAATTGAACCCGCGGTGTACCTCGTAAAACGAGAAACGCGTAAATGAAATAACAGAACATATGCGATTAATTGAAATAGAGACTGGGCCCACCCCCAAACTCCACTTTTTCCGACACAATACATACGTTGTAGCAAAAATAACATCTTAATTTTATGATGGTATGCACACACACATAATATAGAAGAGAAATATCAATAAGAGAATAATATACTGTACCCGGTAAAAGAAAAATCAAGGTTTAACACTTACGTAAGGTTAGGTTAGGTTAGGAAAAATCAAGGTTTAACACTTACATTAGGTTAGGTTAGGTTAGAATAGAAAAAATCGAGGTTAGGTTAGGTTTAACACTTACTGTACATTAGTAGAAGAGATGGGTCGGCGTACGGGAATGGCGGCTGGTTCCGAGGCAGAGGGCAGATTACTGGCCTTCAGGTGAATTACCATCACTATCCACCATAGTTGTCAGGGCCTCCCTGACAAATCCCTCAAAGTCACCATCACTGCCACTATCACTGGCTTGGGCTGGCTGTGGTGGGTTGCGGGTGAAGAAGTCCGTGATGTTACGCTGACGGCTAGTGTTGATGTTGTCGTGATACATCTTGAAGTACGGCTCCATAGTGTGCAACAGCTGGTTATTGAAGACTTCATAGCGGTTATCATGAAGGTCGTTAGAAAGGATGAGCTTCAGTTTCTCTGCACACTCGATGACATCCTTAACATTACCATGCGTTAACTTGTGTTCTTCTTGGGATGAAGTACCGCCTGTCTCTTCACTGACATGATCGTCTTCTAACATCTCGTCAGCAGTCACCCCAGGATCCCTTATCACCTCCATAATGTCGTCGTTGGTGGTCTCGGAGAAGCCTGCAGCTGTAACACTCTGCGCAGCTTCTCTGGCAAGGTCCACTGGCACTGCAACAGACTGAACCTCACCAGTCACAGGTTGACTCTGCCTCCCACCTGGGATACCTTGCAACACATGACGCCATGCGTGACGAATCGTTGCTACAGACAGCTGATCCCATGCCTCCACCAAGAAGTCAACAGCTTTCAGGACGTTAAATTTCTTCCAAAACTGTTTGACGCGAACTTCTCGATCCGCCAACTCTTGTTCCTCATCCTCATCGCTCTCACTATCGGTGTCACCCAGGTTACGCAACTCATCCTTGGTGTAGGTACAGTCGTTCAGGAGCTTAAACTTCTTTGTAGAGAATGCAGCCTTCACATTACAAATTAATTCTTAATCCATGGACTGGATTAATGACGTAGTGTTGGGAGGAAGGAAGACCACTTTTACGTTGGGGTGACGATCCAACAGTAGGGGCGAGTGTCCTGGTGCGTTGTCAAGCAGCAACAAAATCTTGAATGGAACATTCTGTTGCTCGTAGAATTTCTTGACGTCGGGAATGAAATAGTTATCAAACCAAGAGAGGGACAGAGCAGAGAGCATCCACGCCTTATGTGCGGTTAGCCAGTGGACATTTAGCTTGCTCATGTCCATGTTCTTGTAGGCGTGCAGCTTGCGGGCTGTGTGGCTCACCGATAACTTGAATTTACAGGTACTGGAGGCATTGATGGTAAACAGGATGGTGATGCGCTCCTTCTGCAACTTCCGGCCCCGACACTTGCTGGCAGACTTTTTCCAAAACAGACCGGATTCATCCATGTTGAACACCTGGTCATCAGTGTACTGTCCTTCCTCCATAACGTCACATAAGAACGGAGGAAAATTCCAAGCTGCAACACGGTCAGCACTAGCTTCTTCACCACCAATGTTAATGTTGGTGATCTTGTTCCTCTTCTTAAACTCTTGCAGCCACCCAGAGGAAGCATTGAAGGGTTTGGGCTCTGCAATTCCCATCTTATGTGCCACTGCTATGTACAGTTCACGTGCGTACTCTTGAACCGACCGCGTGTCCACCGCCATGTTCCGTCATGCCTGACGAATCAAGTAGCTCAAAAGTAAATTCTCCGTCTTGAGAAGCACCTTGTTCTGGCAGTACTTCAACATTGAAGCACCTGCAGACTTTGTGATGTTCATGTGTTCTTTTATCTTGGCTGCATCCTTCTTGATCGTCTGGATCGTAGATTAGTTAACACCATGCTGGCGCGCGAAATCAACCTGTCTTGTTCCTTTTTCTAACTCTTGTATTATATTGTACTTCACCTCGTAACTGGGAGCACGTCGTATCTTCTTTGGCTTAGGGCGGCTGGGTCCAGGTAATGCAAGGTTTTTCTGTGGTGGTGGAGGTCCATTGGAAGCTATTGTTACGAGGTTAGCGAGATTATCCGAACAATAGAACACAGTATACACGGGGTGACTGGGAGGAGAGTAACTGACGCGGTTAGGTCAACGGCTTCATCCCTCCCGCGGCAGGGCACGTCATATTACATTAAACCAATCACAGCTAGCGGGGAGGGTAAGGATGCGTGGCCCAATCACAGTCTGATACATCATATGACGTCACCTATAACGCAACAAAGACATAAACTGCGCAACCTACTTGCGCCGCTTACCCAATATGGCGGGATGGCAGGAGATGGCGGGAGGTTTGAATCCAAAAATGGCACGGCAAGAGAAGACCGCCAGCTGCTCTCCGCGTAAATGGCCACATTTACCGTGTACATGAAGCATCGCACTTCTGGCAAAATACCGCGTAAATGACAAAACGCGTAAACAAAAACCGCGTAAATCCAGACTCAACTGTACTGTAGTTTTATATACTATTTTCTAAAGAAATGGCAATAATGTTTTGTATATATAATTTTTTTCATGGGGCAAAGGGAGGCTCAGGAACGTAACTCCCATATTTTATCTATTTCTTATGGGGAAAATTGATCCACTTAACGTTGTTTACTTAACGTCGCATTTTCAGGAATGTAACACCGAATTTAAGTGAGGACGCCCTGTATATGTAATTCCAAATTTTGAGGATATTGATGAAAAAATGAAAGAATTAATTAAAAAAACGAGGCTACTATAAAACATCACAGCAAAATTTCCTAGCAAACAAAGTCCACTCAAGCAACATTACCAATAGAAAGATGGGAGATGTTTTGGGTCTACTAATAACCAGTGACTGTGTACAAGACCTTTAAGGCCCACAAGGAAAACTACTGTGCAAAGCTACTAAACTGCAATAAGGGCTGGATAATACTAGGCATGGGTCACACCATTGTCATGGAGGTATTAGCTTCAGAATTAGAAACAATTTATCATGAGCACTGCAAGCAAATGTAAATGCTCATCTGTTTAAGGCAAACTGAGATAAATGCCAAAACCTCACTGGTTGATGGTAATGATACCCAGGTGGTGGCAAGAGCTCTCTATTTTCATTTGGAAATGATTAACAAGTATTAACTTAAACACACAAAGTTATATGAATTGACAAATTGCAACATACCAAGAAGTTGCTGGAAGTGAAACATAGCTGTGTCATATTCATTTCTTCTGTATGACAAGTCTGCCATCATCACTGTAGCACTGTCATTCTCCTTATCTGTCCTCAACAGTGTCATGCAAGTGTACTGACACTGGTCCAAGTCATTTATCTGTCCAAAATATTAAGGAAGTAAAATACATTGAAATCATAAATATTAATTACAACAAAGACAATTACACAACACACACGTTAACAGCACTACTAAACCATTGTCTTATAACAATTTACATTATACAGTAATTTCTATTTAAAAATTAATTGATACATGATAGCTCAACAGGGCAACTTTTGCACTTAGACAACTGATCAATGGATAAACCAGGGCATTGGAGACTCATTATACACTTGTGATGTCACGAAGCTTCGTATCTGCAACCACATAAATTATCACAACCATTGTACTCAAATGTACTAAGCTAATTAATAAAATTATTATGTATAGTGCAAAATAAGGGAGGTATATATTCAAATTAATAGCTATCTTACAAGAATTCCAGCAGTGGAGATTCTCCGAAGTCAAGTCAGTGCCATTTTATAAGCAAAAAAATAAAACCTCTCCACCTTTCATAATCTCCCCACCCTCCCAGCTGGAGGGAGAAGAGTCTATTGGGGGTAAAAGTGACCGTAACACCCCCCAAACAGCTAATTCCCGTGTGTGTGTGTGTGTGTGTGTGTGTGTGTGTGTGTGTGTGTGTGTGTGTGTGTGTGTGTGTGTGTGTGTGTGTGTGTGTGCAGCCACACACAGGGTGGTGAAATGCATCTAGAGTGGCAGCATTATGTCAGTGTTAAGGTGCAAACACTGCTTGCTTCCTCTCGCTTTCAGCTCCCGTTGCTGGCTAGCCCTCGTGGCGAACAGGGAAGCAACTTGCATACGCCTTCCCCAGCCAGTACACAGCCTCCTCACCATCAAGACTCCTCTTGTGCCTCCTTGTGGCAACACACGGTAACTGGGTGTCTCATGGGCCCATGCTAGATCAGCAGGGGATCTCGGAGTAGCAGTGGGCTCAAGAGGGACGGCGGATAGGCCCACCGTCATGTGGCAGGTATAGGGTGACGGGAGTAAACCTCGAAATAAAAATCTGCGGTGGAGCCCCACATCAGGCAGACATGCTTACAGAGCTCCAACAAGACCCCAACGGCGGTGTAGGCAGAAGAGGTGACCAACATGGGAACCCAACGACTACACCGGCGGATGAAGGCAATGCCTGATGGACAGGCTACTAAGGCGAACCCCAACAAACTGGGCTATATGCAGTCCATTGCAACTCTCCCTCTCCCCAGTCATTGCAACACTTGCAGCACTGGATCAGGAAAAGGGAGAGCCAGTATGTGTGGTTACAGCCTGCGCTCCTGCCTCACCACATAAAATAACTAACGCGCAGCCATCATCCAGTTCATCATACCTCTCATCATCATCAAAACCCCCTATACCCCCAAAACTCCTCTAGCGACGGACGAGTGGTGACGGGGACAGGCAAAGATGACTGCTGGAAGTCTCTAGTAACAACTCTGCACATAGGCGGCACAGATAAGATGGTCGTTTATGCACTAGGATCCAGGCAGCAGTGCAATCCGATCCTGTCTATGCGACTGAGCAGCCCTTTTGAGGAGCCACTCTGCTCACCCCACATGGGGAGGAGGCTAGAAAAGGTGCTCTAACCATAGCCTGCCTAAAAACCCAACCTGATTGGGCAATCACACCCAGTAAGGTCATCCTTATGCAGTCGAAAATACAACCAAAATAACAGATCCAAACAAAAGCAAACCATATAACCTCTTATGGCCGTTGCATGGAATGTCAGGACCCTTCTGGATATTGGCACAAATGTGCATCCTGAAAGAAGAACTGCCCTTGTGGCAAAAGAGCTAGCTAGGTATAACATCGACATAGCAGCCATCAGTGAGTCCCGGCTCCCAGATGAGAGCCAACTCACAGAGCAGGAGTCTGGCTACACCTTCTTCTGGAAGGGTAAACCTGCTGAGGAGAGAAACCGCATTTATGGAGTTGGCTTTGCCATCCGCCAACGCATCTTGCACAGGCCAACTGAAATGCCTATTAGGATCACAAGCGCCTCATGACACTTCGAGTCCCATTGAATCACTCACGTCATGCTTTCTTCATCAGTGCATATGTCCCAACACTGGATGCAGAGGATGACATCAAGGAGGCCTTTTATGCCGACCTCGGCAGAGTGCTATCCTCTATCCCCAGAGAAGACAAAGTTGTGCTCCATGGCGACTTCAATGCCAGAGTTGGCAGAGATGCTAGCATTTGGCAGGGAACCATAGGGAGAAATGGACTAGGCAAGTGTAATCCCAACGGCCTGCTCCTCCTCAGCAAGTGTGCTGCACACAACCTCACTATCACCAGTACCTTGTTTAGGCAGTCCGACAAGTTCAAAGGTTAGTTGCATCACCCACGACCCAAACACTAGCATCTCATTGACTACATCATTGTCAGAGAAAGAGATAGCTGAAATGACCGCATCACCCGCGCCATGCGTGGCTGAGAACCAGTGACACTGATCATCGACTTGTCCAGATCCAAAGCTCTCATTTCACGTTGCCCCCAAAACGGCGAAGGCAGCAAGCCTCCAGAAGAGGTTTTAAATACTAAGAGTCTGGAGGATCAGTGGTAGCCTTTTATGCTTTCAGAGGAAGCAGCTCGAACATGATCTTATAAACAACCTAACAGCAAACCAACGTGAATCCCAGTGCGAATGGGATACTCTTAATACTGTTATGACAAAGACCTGCGAAGACTACATAAGCCAGACCAAGAAAAAGTACACCAGGTCTGGTTTGATGAAAATGACCCGGCAATCCAAAGTAGTCATCGATGATGGCGTGCTTTTACTATTTAACAACCCTCAGTCTCGGACCAAAAGCTGATACTTGCAAGAAGAAGAGCGGCCAGAAAGAACTACAATCTAAGAACGACTGGCAAAATGAGCCAGGCGAAGCACAAACTTGCAGATCAGCATAAGATGGCACTTGATTTTTCATTTCCACGAAAACATTTATGGGTCCAGTCACTCGTGGTGCAGCCCCTTCGCTCATCTGACGGTAACCACATATGATGTGTGAACGAAGAGCCTCCTTCAGCGCTGAAACAACCCTACCATTCATTGCTAAGCAAACACAGTTGGATATCCTTGGATGTCCTGACTACCCAGAGGTACCTCAACAACCAGAGCTGACCTACACTCAGCTATCCTCCATCCCTGGATAAAGGTAGCTACCACTCCATCAAACAGGTGAAAATAACATAGCCTCAGGGGCCTGATGGAGGTCCCAGGCGAGCTGTATCAAAGCAGGAGAACCTCTGCTTACAGTCGTCTCCACTCTCTCCTGGAGAATATATGGAAAAGAATCCCCAAGCTCTTAAAGACGCCTCATTGTCAATATTTATAAGAACAAGGGGACCGGTCAGACTGTAGCAGCACAAGTGGGATCTCGCTGCTCTCCCCGAGCTGGCAAAAAAAAAGAGATTATCGCGAGTCTTCCTAAACAGACTTCTTCCTGAGCGAAACCTTCCTCCCAAAATCTCAATGTGGTTTTAGACCATCAAATGGCACCACTGACATGATCTTTGCTGCCCACCAGATGGGAAAAGTACAGAGAACATCGGCGTGAGCCTGTGCATGGCTTTCCTCCTGACCTAACCAAGGCTTTCGACTCAGTCAACAGGAAGCCCTCCTGGTGGACCCTCAGCCGTTTGGCTGCCACCAAGTCACTCGCCATTGTGAGGCAACTCACGATGGCATGAGCCTTTTAGTGTCTATTACAGCAGCACAGTCAGAGTTCTTCCCCATCAAACAGAAGGGTTAAACAAGGGTGTGTACTGGCAACTCTCTTTTCCATCTTCTTGGCTGCCTTCCTTACTCGTGCCAGTGCCAGAATTTAGCCAGCAGGGTGAACATCGAGAGTACCGGGTGAAGGGGTCTCTTCAACATAGACGACTCTAACCAAGAACAAAGGTGTCGGCAGCTTACATTACTGAACTGTTAAAGACGACCTCAACCTTGTTGCTCACACTAGACGACATACAAAAAGAGATCCTGAACTCCTATGCAGACGCGTATACACTTCGGCCATGGTGAATGCGTAAGACTCAGATTCTCTTTCAACCTGCCCCTGGTTCAGACACAGCTGCACCATCCATCCAACAACGGTACTTCCCACCTCTCCTAATGTGGCCACTTTCTACATCTTGGCTCCCACCTGTCCTACCGAAAAAAATAGATGAAGATTCATCATCGGGTCAGATGTGCATCTCAAGCCTTGGGCGAACTCCGAAAGCGTGTCTTCAGCTCAGCAGGGAGCTGAAATTATCTGCCAAGTTGCACGTATATCGAGCAGTGGTCCTGCCCACCCTACCTGTGGCGGTGAGATATCGGTCATACAGGAGGCACCTCAAGGCACTTGAGAACTTTCACCAACGCAGTCTACGTTTCCATCCTCCGAGTTCTAACTGTAGGGCATCGAGGTACCATTATCCATGGACAACTATGTTTGGTTGGCCCATAATACCCACATGGACGACAGTAGACTGCCAAAGCAGCACTTGCTTTACAGTCACCTGACGAATAGTAAACGTAACGCCGGCGGGCAATTGAAAGGTATAAGGATAGCAAGACTTAAAGATCTGAAAAGGTGCCAAATCTCGACCTCTTCACCCTGGGGAGTCGGTGCTCCACATCATAACGCTTGGAGAAAGCACCACACGAGAAGGTATCAATACTTCGAGTTATCCCGACTTTCAAACCGAGGGCAGAAGCGCAACGTCAGAAAGACGCTGCCGCATGGCTCCCACAGTAGATGGGCCACTCCATATGCAACGAATGTGGACGACGCTGCCGGTCCCGTATCGGCCTCTTTAGTACCTCAAAACTCACTAACCTAAGTGACATCACTAGTAGCTCAAATCATTGTATCATAACTGGATGATCGTCATACTCGATTCAAGTGACAGCAAAGTAGTAGTAGTAGTGTGTGTGTGTGTGTGTAAACTAGTTCATGGTGAATTTAAACAAACACACACACACACACACACACACACACACACACACACACACACACACACACAACAACAAGGGACAGGGGGGA